AGAAGTGCAATTTGCATTGCCGGCCGATGGTGCTCCCACAATGGTATTGTTTGCTCATGGTCGCACCAGCTGCGCACGACTAAAACTACCTTAAATTGGACATGGTCTTTTTGGAAATTGCTTTTTCGGGCTGCTGTCCAGCACACTGTGAGACACTGTCGGGGTGTTGAGCAGATAAAACGATCTCCTGATCGGACGAGTGTGCTGTACTGGCAGCTTATACCCCTGCCCAAGGCTTTCAAATGCAAGGAGTCGCACTCTTCGCGGGCAGTTACAAGTACTAGGCATGGACCACCACAATCCGGCCATACGTCATGGGCAGGCCGAGCGAAATAAAGAATGTGCATTCGAAGGACGATTTTAGCAAAAAAGATCATGCCGGTCGATGAGCGATTTACACTCCCAGTCAATGTTGTCCCCGCAATGACATCGTGTGCGCGGTCGCACCCGCTACGCGCGACTGAAAGCACTTAAGTTGGACGCCGTAATTTTGCCAATCACAACTGCAGCTAACCCGGCAACTGTCAGTGTGACACCTTCCCGTGGCCGACCGAACAAAACGGATATCTTAATCCGGCATGTGTACTGTGCTTACGGATGAGAACCTTACTACAGTGCTGTTGAACGTACATAGCAACACACTTCGATGGAGATTAAAAGTGTTTTTCGGGCCTCCGCATGCCGGTCATCAGGCTTTTGGAAGACCGGTGGCAGTGATCAATGCGACGTCAATGGCTGGTTCTGAAAAGGTTATGCAGGCTACGAACTTTAAACATTGCCAGCGGATGGCGTCCCCACAATGACATGGTGTGCACATGGTGGCATCCGCCGCGCATGAATAGAAGTATCGTGAATGGGCTGTTGTAACTTTGGAAACCGCATCTGTGGCTGGGTCTCTAGCATTAAGTGAGGCACTGTCGGGCGGCCCACCATATAAAATGAATGACGTAATCGCACGGGTGTGTTGTCACAGCTCGCCGCCCTGTACTAGCGCTGTTGAATGCGCAGTCACGCCTCTCGCGCGCGATCTTAAGTATTTTTCTTACCGCCGCATTACGACTATCACGTTATTGGCAGGTCAGTGGCACTCGACAATGCAAATGGTGATTTGAACAAAAAAGGCCGTGTCGTCCGGGGAACGATTTACATAGCCAGCCGACACTGTTGCCATAATGACATCGTTGTATGTGCACGCCGCGCACGACTAAAAATATGCTTAATTGGGCGCCGTAACTTGACAAATTGCCGCTATGGCCGTCCTTTCAGCATGGAGCGAAGACATTGCTGGGGAGCCGACCAAATGAAATGGAGGCTGTAATCGGGTAGGTGTCTTGTACTCAGAGCTGAAAGCCTTATAGCAGCGGTTTCAAATGCACGCAGTCGCACTCTTCGCGAATGATTGCTATTTTCCCCGGGCCGCCGTATTCTGGCTATCACGGTACGGGTAGGGCGCGTGCAAGTCTCGCAGTCTCGGGGTGATTTGAATAAGAATGGTCATTTCGACCAATAAACTATTTACAATGTAGTAGTTCTGCTACGTGGACATTGTGAGCACAAGGTAGCAGCTGCGCATCAATAAAATAATTTAAATTGGGCGGAATTTGACACCGCCTCTTTGCAAATCGCCACTTTGGCCAGCCGTGCCACAAGAATTAAGTGAGACACTGTTGGGGGTCGACGTCGACGGAATAAAATAGATTCCCTAATAGGAGAAGTGTGCTGCACTGGAAATCGATTGCCCTTTACCACCGCTATGCAATGCAACAGTCGAACTTTTGGGGTGCGATTACAAATTATTTGTAATTTGCTGCCGTAACTTTGCAAATTCCCGCTGCAGTGAGACACTGAGACCCCTGAGTGAGACACTCAGGGGTCGATCAAATAAAACAAATTCCCTAACCGCAATCGCGATGGCAGCTGACAGCCATCCAGCGCTATACCAACGCTATCGAATGCACAGTCGCACTCTCCTGTCAATGAAGTCAGCGCACAGTCGCACTCTCCTGTCAATGTAGTCAGCGCACAGTCGCACTCTCCTGTCAATGAAGTCAGCGCACAGTCGCATCAGGCGCGATTGTAAGGATTTTCCCGGGCTGCCGCATTCTGGTCACCACACTGATCATGCTGCGGGGAGGCCGTCTGCAGATAGCGATGCACAATCACGGGGTGATTTAAACACAGAAAGGTCGTGATGGCCGATGAGTAATCGTAGTAATCGATGAGTAATAAAATAAAATAAAGAAATCAAAGTAAAAAAGTAATAAAGTAATAGCACGATTGCACTCACCGCGCACACTAGGCGTCTTAAATATCATATTGCAATCACGCAAAGCGCCGCTATGGCAGTCCCGACAGCATTGAGACACTGCCGGGGGAGGGGAAGACCGGATAAAATGAATTCCGCAATCGGACAAGTGTGTTGTACTGGCAGCTGATAGTCCTATACCAGTGTTATGAAATGCACACAGTCGTACTCATCGAGTATTATTACACCGTCGTATTCTAAGTACGTATTCCTGCCATTACGCTGGGGCAGGCCGGCTGCAGCTAGCAGTTCGACGTGAAGGAGTGATTTGAACAAAGAGCGTCATGTCGGCCGATGAGCGATTTACATTGCTGGCAAACAATCTTTCTGCAATGGCATTGTGTGCGCTCGGTCCTAGCCGCGGCGGACGACTAGAAACATTTCAAATTAGACGCCGTATCTTTGGAAATTGCCGAGCTAGCTAGCCTCCGGGCATTGAGCGCAACCTCGTCCGGGAGGCGACCAAATGCATTATATATCTTAATCCAGATCAAGGCATCCTTCTTATTTGCATGGCCCTTTATATAAGATAGCACTATCTCAGCCGAGCGCAAAAGGTAAGGCCTGGGTCGTCTCTGGCCGCGTGGTTGCGATCACATTTCAACAACCTTGGAGTCGGTCGTCTGGCGCGGCATGAGTGACCTTGTCACGCGCCGTGACCACACTGGCGTTCGCAGGGCTTTAAGTGATCCTTTCTTCCCGTTGGCGATCCGGTCGCTGCCCCATCCTCAGCACCGCTGTTAACGCGTCACGAGGTCGTTGGTGGCAGCCGCTTTGGTGTTGCCTGCTTCCCGGCTCAGACAACCGGATGCGAGAGGCCATTAGATTGTCGTGCAAGGCGTTGTACCGTATAGCCTCGTCCTGGAAGCGCCTGTCACCGGCCGTTCTCACCTCCCGGAGTTGCTGTGTTCATGTCACCACAGCACGCGTGCAGATTTTGTGACCAAATCTGTTTTGCTTTGGGCAGTAGCATCTGGTGCTCGCCATCCGTCCCGTTCCAGAGATGGTGGCGCTATTCTCTCTCCGGTCGATCACTGGCAAATCTCAGTAGCAAATTTGGGATTCATCAGCGAAGAGGAGCCGATACATTCCCCAACGCTACGCAGGTTCACATTTCCATCTGCTCTGGTTGCTGAGATCTGTCATCAGCTCTTAAAAATGACTCAAAACAGGTGGATCCATTGATTGAACACGCAAGGCTGTTGGCCGCCAGCATACAACTTATCCTCTTTTGCGATCGTCCCCTTTCTCCTCCGTCAGTATATGGTAAGGTCGTCTCGCTACGACGCCGGGTTGCTAAGATCTGGTCTCGGCTTTCCCCAGTACTGTATCAAACTAGTAAGAAAATTCTTCTTTTTTCCTTTCAAATAGGACATTTGCATGCTTCCTTTTCAATCAATCGCAAATCTTTGGGAGGCTTGTTGGGACGAGCTCCACAAAATTTGGACCGTGTTTACTTAATGGAGACTCGTTGAAGTGTGAGATATGTCGGAACAGTGGCGTAGCTAGGTTTCCGCCCAAGGGGCTCCAAACCGGGCCCTGAAGAGCCCTTTCAGCCAAGGGAGCTCTCTTCGTTGCCATAGGGATCCTGTTTTTTATCAGGATACTTGCCATGATCGGGACTTTGTTTAGATGCCTGTGAGGCCTGTTTTGGACCGTTGTAAGCGTCTTTGACTGCCAAAAGGTGACTGGGCCGTCGGCACCGGAGGCCCTCTGCCGCGTCCAGGGGGTGAGAATACCCCTACTCCACTACAGCACCGTACCGTAAGCGATGCGTAGTTCATACAGCTCAACAGCGTCTATAATTTGCCTACGTTGCTCTTGGCCGCAGGCATTCTTGTCTTTGTTTTTGCCTCGTACTTATTCTGGCTATTATGTATTATGCATTATATCCGACCAGACCATGTAGTTTTATATCATCATGGGATGGTACAACATCTGTGGCATTTGCAGTCGCCGGGTAGACCAATAAGCCAAACACAACTTTGATTCACAGATCCTAATAAAATAGTCATGCTGTTTAACAAATTATATTTCAATACCGAATGGCCGGCATACCTTGTGGAAAAACGTTTATGGACAGATATATTTGTACGCTCTCGGCTGGTTTTCACACATGCACGTCAGGCGTCCGACACTGTTTCACGGCAGAACCCATTGCATTTGAGCGAACCTGGCGATTTTGTTGAGCAGGCTTTTGGGTACAAGTCAGTTCGCCAGTTCGAACTCGAATGGTGCAAAGTACGAGAGCACTTATAGATACTTGACACAACAGTAATGTGTTACTGTTAACTACATGCATTGGTGCAATGTTTGGAAGCACAATAACCCTGAAAATTGAGATCTTGCGCGCTCTAGTTTCACTGCGATGATTTACAATGTAGACTTTGGAACCCGCAGAATGATTCGCACCAAAATCGGGAAAGGCATACAGATAGCAGTATTAAGCACAAACAGACCTTACAGTACGACACAAACCTTACACTACCACTCCACGCCCACTACGGTACGCCGTCGAGCGCCTTACCCTAATACCCGTTTCACAACTACCGTCTAAACGCAGCGGCGGAGCGGCGCGCCGGCCGCACAGCTCCGTATCGAGCGGTGGCTGGCGTTCTGGCCTCCGGGCGGACTCTCCGCCGAGCCGAGCCGAGCGGGGCCGGGCCGAGCGGGGCCGCCGCCGCCGGTCCCCGGGCCCCCCGCGGCTCCCCTGACCATCGGCGGTCTGCCGCGCGGCGGCCGGCCCCCGGACGGCGCCCGCACCCGCATGGCTTCCGCACGAGAGGTGCTGGTGTGCGTGCGGCGCACGAGGCTTGACGCGCCGAGTTTGTCACTTATACATACGCTTATTACTAACCCTGAGATATCTTAGCACGGCAAAACACGAGGTACAAAATCTGGCTGCTTTCTATGCGCGAACACTAGTGGTGGACTGCTTTGAACTCTCTTGGTACTTGTAAAAATCCAAAAACTGTAGTGCAGGACACCACACTATTGATACAATCACACCAATCAAAATTCAGGAAGTATTCTTGCTTTGAACTTTGTCGATACTTCCAAGAATGCAAAAAAGCTTGAGCGAAAGACATTACGTTACTGACAAACCACATAAACCAGTCTACAAATTATTCTCACGGACAGAAAGATCCGCGTTCTTGTTCGCAATGGCATGTAATTGTACTTGGAAGTTCAATGCTCCACGAACATCTCAGAGGACGTTCAGCACTGTAGTTCTTATTTTTCATCACATCCTTTTAGTCGAAGTTCCTGAGTAATTGACAGTTGGCAGAAAGTCCAGCAAAAAAATGACTGGAATTACAACGATATACAGGATTACAAAGAAAAAAGACAAGCACGCCAAACACAGCTGGTTACAGTAACTTGTCGCATGCCTATGTACATCTTCCGTGGCTGTGTGGTGCATGCCACAAATGTTGAATTCAGAGGCGGTGATTTCCTGTCACCTCCCAGAGCACGCGTTAATGATCTGAAGACTGAGATCCTGGGCCTGAGCTGATGAAATATGTACGAAATGTGTCACCACAGCACACAAAAAAATGTTACATTAATAGCGATACCGAAATGGCAAAAATAAACGTGATGCTCTGAAGTGTGAATCACTTTGTCTGAACAATTGCATACAATGCAAATCACGTTCAAAACTTTGCCAAAAATTCACTGCAGAAGAATAAGATGTGATCGGAGTGAGAGCTCCATCATGAGCTCCCAACAAGGCTCCTTTTCCTCCAAACATTGGCCCCTTTGTTCAACCTCGAATGGAAAGCGTAATATGAACAGGACATTGCTGCTTGTGGAATGGCATTGTACCCAGCAATAGACGTACTGCCATAGATGAAAGTAATCAGGAACAGTTCACAGCTACATTTGTGATGATGGCATAGCGGCATGTCCACCAACTTATGCTTCACCCTATTTTGGTATAAAAGTATAAAAAGGAAGGAAAATAAAGGCAAAAGTAGAAATGTTGGTCCAATAGGCACAGTCTGCCGGCCGTTTGCTGGCGCGTGCTGACCGGCCTAAAGGCGGTCCTGCATGGGCAGGAGTCTCCTCAGCGCCGGCGGGGCTACAGCCCCTCCAGGGTGTAGCCGCAGATGCCGTACACGCCGAACAACACGACGAACGTCACCCCGGCGATCAGGTAGACCAGGTGCAGCGCGACGAGGGAGGTCATGTACAGCGTGTAGTCGCAGTAGCTGCTCTGGTCGCCGTCCAGCGAGAACTCGGGAAGGTATATCTGGTACAGCCAGATGGTGCCTGTGGACGCGTCAGTGGTGACACCGCATGTACACGCGCGGCAGGCGAATCTGTCCCGGTCCGCTGGAGGCCAGGGAGAGGGCGGCACACTGACCAAATGGCGCGGTAATGCCACCTGGCACCAGCTGTCCTGGGGTCACGACGCAGAGCAGTCCCGGGGTCACGACGCAGATCAGTCCCGGGGTCACGACGCAGAGCAGTCCCGGGGTCACGACGCATAGCAGTCCCGGGGTCACGACGCGGACCAGGACATATCACTGAGCCCGCGCGCAGCTCCCGGCCTCGCGCAGGGCGGACTGGCGTCACGGAGTCGCCCGGCGACCTGTTCAGCGCACACTCGCGCACGGTGTTGCACCGGTATCTAGCACACGCTGCCCTCGGCCACACCGGGCGCCCGCGGGCGGGGCGGCTGACAACTCACCGAGCACGAGCCAGGCCACGTGGGCGACGATGGCGGCGCAGTTGGCGTACGCGGCGTTCTCGTCATCGTCGTCCATGGTGCTGCGCGCGCGAAACAGGGTCCCCTGCACGCTGCGCACGAGAGACAGCGCCCCTGGCGACAGGCGGACGGCGGTGAGTCGGCGCCCGGCGGACGGGTACCGGGCCACGGCCGGCCCTCGAGGAAAGGGGGGAGGGGGCGGACTGGCTGCTCCCGCCGGCTCACGGGCACGGCAGCCGGACACGTCCCGGTCTGAGCACGCCCCCCCCCCCCCCCGCAGGGCTGACGTGACACTAGACGAAACAGGCGAGAGCACAAACGTGGTCTGTACAGCGGCACCCTCACCACTGACCACGCATACGCTCCGGAGCGGCCGCGGAGGTCATTACCTCCGAAGCAGAGCCAGATGGCGAGGCGGGGCTGGGCCGGGCACGTCTCCTCGCCCCAGCTGGTGGCAGCGACGGCCACCATGGCCACCGGCAAGGCGAACCAGATGCTCAGCCCCATCACGACCACCACTGCCGACAGGGCTGGCGTCAGACGCAGCAGGGACGAGATACAGGCACACACTGTTGTGTCATTGTGTTCTAATGCTCTGGGTACTGGGATGCTGCCAGCGTGGTAAGGGGGGGGGGGTTAAAGAAGACAGATTAGATTGCAAGCACTCTCTGTTTTTGTGTCAGAATAACACCTCCTCCCACACCTTCACCCCCCCCCCCCCCCCCCACCAAGAATGTCATTCAGTCACAATCAACTCCCTGTCAAGAAGCAGTGGTGCATGTCCATGTACATTTCCTAAATCATGCCACAGCTTAGATCTCCTTTGGTGAAGCATGTGCTACAAACAATCTTCATACCTGCTGCCCCAATGCCATTCAACACTGGTGAATTCTTCAGAGATTCCCAGACTCTTGGAGAATCCTGTTTGCCCTTGCACATACCACCAAACAGGGTCTCATATAAAGGTGGTGGTGCTGGGGGAAATACAAGGCATTTCAGTCACAGCCAGGCAACAAGAGCATAGCACCAGAACATGTGAGATGATTTGTACAAGGAGAATACTTATGGCACATGTGAAAGTGTTGGTACAATAGGTGCGGTTGGCCAGCCATTTATTAGTATGTGCTGACTGGCCTGAGGGCAGTCCTGCAGGGGAAAGCATCCTCTCAGTTCTCACAAGAGAGGGATGGCTCCTTCAGGCTGTTTAATTCCTTACATCAATATTTATCCAATCTCTAAAGCAATACAGCAATGTTTTGAGAATGTTCATACAGTCAGGCCCATACAGACAATCAACTCCTGTCACAAACATAGCTTGTCGAGCATTATTAGCCTAGAACCATGATAAAAAATGCTGCAGTTATCAGGCACCACAGCTTTGCTTACCTTCAGTACTTGTGACTTGAGCATAAGTTGGAGGTGGCATACTGGCAACTGTCCTGCCTTCAGTGACAAGAGGTAAGCCAACCATCTTGGGCCCTTCATCAGAGAACATTGGAAACTCCTCTGGCATTGGGACAGAAAGATGAGCTGGCATGCTTGATGTTGAGCTCTGGCTGACCAGCAATGGCACATGACCTTGGCTACCTGCATTTGCAGTGTCAAGTGTGACAGATGCTGACATAGCCTCCATATTGTTCTCAGTTCTCATATCTCCTGCCTTGATGGTGTGTTGGAATAGATCGCTGCAAAAAAGTGCAAACCACACTCAATACAGTGCTGGAAAGTGTTTAAAAGAACTCTCGTGCTGCACCCAGGCTGCAAATACAACCTTAGCAAAGTTGAACCTTTATATGAAGCATATACTTTTTGTGAGATTGTTGAGGATGATGGACTTTAAAACTACTCAGAACTTTTTTGGCTGACATGCTTTTCCTCTACAGAGCAGAAACACCATTTCCGCGGTCCTTCGCCTTCAGGTCACATCTTAAGCTATTGGCATCCATACCTCCTGGAACTTCTGAACCAGGCACAGACAATTACACAACCATAAGCTGAAAACATAGTAAGATACACATGGGCAAGACATGCAACAGTCAGAAATGGGAGTGAAAATACCTACGGGTAACATTAGGATTCATCTTTTTATGAGAATAAGGTGCTTTACCTACTTTGATTGCTATTTATGTTGAAAAACCAATGTACAGCTTTCCATTTTTTTTATAAAATGGAGCATCACACATGATTTATTACCTCTGCTGATTCTACCAATTCCAATGCTGGTATCAATGCCATGTCATGTCATTAGGGCTGTAAGATGCTGTTATGGTTAGATGGTATTACCTGCCTCTCACTGTGGCAGGAACAACTGCTGGAAATTAAAGAAAAACATCTTCCCCAAGTTGTTGTTTAGGGTTTTTGGAATCACCTTCTGCAGAGGCAACCTACCACAACAAAATCATCTATTTTGACTGCTATTCAAGTTGAGAATCCAAAGTACAGGATATAATTTTTTCATAAAATGTGGCATCATACATGATGCAATTATCTTTGCTGATTCTACCATTTCCAGTGTTGGCACTTTGTGTCATGTGATACCACTAGGGCTGTAAGATACTGTTGAGATTAACTTATATTGCCTGCCTTTCATGGTAGCAGGAAGAACTCCTAGAAATTTAAGAAATAATCTTTTCACCTATAATTGTCACTCAGATTTTTGGGAATCACATACTGCAGAGGCCATATTGTACCCAGAATCACTTTCCTCTGGTTTCCCAAATGTGCAGCTTCACCATTGCACCAGTGATGGCATCCCTTCCACAGAATTTCACATCAGGAACAACACAGCACATACTGCATGATCAACAGTGCCACTCAGCACCATTATTCAACTTGGTGTTGCCACTTCATGCAAAGCAAACTAATGGCATACAAAAATGCTTAACTCTACTCAAAGCCAACCTTAACTTGAAGGGAAACAATCTCATCATAAATAAATGAATTTCAGGGACTACAGGAATGGGAATTCCCTTCTGAAAGCCACAAATATTGCTGCTCCCTCCATGGCCTCCGGCTTTCCTTCAGTCAATGGTTACTTTCCTCGCATTGACAACAGACACTGTAAGCTTCTCTGTGTGCTAGAAAATATAGAAATTTATCAATGGTATTCTAAACCCTCCAATGTTATTCTGCACATATATTTTGGTGCGCGCGAACGCGCGCTGGCACCCATCAAAGAACATTTTGTGTGTTGTTGCAAATCACCCACACTATCAACAAACATGTATCTTTCTAGCCGAAACGGTCAAAGGTAAAATTGGACCGCCGGCATGCAAGAGATGGGGATTGAACACAAACACACTTAGTAATTACTACATTAGCAACAACAATCTCACCCGCCAAAACTTGACAATCACGGATACCCAGAGTCGCTTAAAAACAAAAGGTTGTCCGGCAACTTTCCCTACATTTTCGTGCAACGTTATCATGACGTCATTGGTATTACGAATACGATGCGTGGTTTGCCGCTGGAGGTCAGCCGCGATGCTGATGGGCAACCAATATACTGAAATCCTCGTTAAGGCAATGAAAGCAAAATGTGGGCGGAAGGCCGCGTATGACCAGCGAGCTGACTGTACAAAACATAGCGGTAAGCATGATGTGCTCTGCAAGCCCATTTGGTAAACCATTAAGATGCAGCGGCATGAAAAGTGAAAACGCAAACACAAGACTTATTCGCAATTGGACGGCAAGAGCATTGGGCTGTTTTCGTACCCATAACCAACAAACTGTTACTGACAGGCGCATGTGGCCAGCGAACCGATTGCGCATAATTCCACGACTAGCATGATAACGCACCTGGACAGCGATTGCAATGCATTTCGACCTTACACGGCCTCGCACCGCCTGGTCGAACCGCCGCTGGTGTTGTTAGTGAATGGCGAGCGTGGCGAGTCTGTTTCTGCTACAGTGGACTTTTTGTGCTGAATGCGCCAGACGCGCGCGAGATGCACCATGCTCAGTCCGTGCCTATCTACACTCTGCCGTTCTCGGCGTGTACCTGGCTGGAGATAGTGCTCGGTCCCTACCTGCCCGCATGGTCACCGAGGGTGATGAGCCACGTGTGTTGCACCCTCGGGACGTCGGGACGTTTAGGTGCGTTTCTACGCTTAACGCCAAAGCTGCGTGCGAATATGATTACAGATAGCCAAACCAGGGTGCAGAGCACTACATGTATCTGCGATACGGTCAGGCGCGGATACACAGAGCAGGCCCTGTGAGCACGTGACGCCCACCTCATCCACAACCCCAGTCAAAAAGGATATGTGTGGCGCGCGGCCTGTCTATCCGCCGCGGGCCACGTGGTGTTTCTAGTGCAAGTAGGTTATTTTTGAGGCGTGTTTTATTTTTGTAATCCCGGACGCGGCATTGAAAATGCTAGCTACAGATGTAGCGCGGGGCGTGTATATCCGCCGTTGGCCACATGCTGTTTTTTAATGTGCGAGTACGGTTTTGTTTGTTATGTTTGGCCCGGGTGTTCGTTCCGGACATGCGCGCTAGGACCATTAATAGGCGGCGTCCCTTTAAAAGCACCGACCTTGTCGGAGTACAAACAAGTTCAAACGGTGCGTGGGTACGTTCAGACATTACCGTAACGGGGTCGGCTGTCGGAAGTACGTTGACACGGACGGGGTGATGGGAAACCATATGGGCCTGGTGCGCCGACGGCCGGGCGCTAGGCGTCTACACCTCGGCAAAATGTAATCCCGGTGGAACAATCGCCGGAGAATCGGCGATTCTCTGAGACCCCCGGTCCTTTTTCCTCTTTTGAGACAGCTACGAATGTGCGATCTAGAGGTAATTTTGAGATAACGTGCTCGCACATGAATTCTGATCTGTCGTATCTCATGCACCCTTTTCGTGCTTACATCGTATCGCAGTAATAAACATACATCATATGCAAATAGGTCGCTAACGTTTGCTGTAAAATTGCGTGCCAACCGTGCCTGGTATTCCTACATGCGTTTCAATGAACAGTCTGCGGAAAGACAGCAAGTTAAGTAATACGGTGCGGCCTGAGCTTTGTGTCATAAGACAGGATGTGTCGTGGTCAGGTTCATGCCTTTGACATTAATATTTCTATCTTGCATAGCTCACATACTTCGTACAACTTACGGCGGCTGTGAATTTTCCATAAGGGCAATGAAGGGATTTTTGTCACCGCGGTCAAGTGCGTCACATATGCTTTGCGTTATGACTAGTCGCGAAGAGCGATGGAGAAAGTCTTACGCGGCACGTAGGCAATTGTCTAACCATGAGTTGAAAGGTCCCACTCCTTACAAGAAATTCGGTAGTTTGCTATTGGGTGATCTCTCCGCGACTCACAAATAAGGTGAAACACATTTTTGCACGCCGCTAGCCGCTAGTGAAGTGGCAGTAGCACGCGAAAGACGCCGTTGATGGATTCGCGACTCGCAGAATGTAAGACTAGCTTTTCAGCGACCTTCTTGCGACTCCCGGAAAACAGAAGTTGTAAAACGGCGTTGGGTTGTCGAAAAAGTTTATTGATCTTTCCCCATGGTGGATTGGCTTGTGCCCACAGAAGGGGTTTCCTAAGATGACCCTGAGTAATTATCCCTTAGCACCGGCAGTGAATTCGGTCACTGAGGGTTTTTTGTCAGAATTACTCCAGCGACTCCAGAAGGCGAGGTTCGCACATAAGAGCCGATGGGGGATTCTGGCGTGCCGATGTGTGATTCCGGCGATAAAGCATCATGAGCCGATGTGGGATTCCGGCAATCCAGCAATTAAGTATTATGAGCCTATGTGGGATTCCGGCAATCCAGCAACAAAGTATTATGAGCCGATGTGGGATTCCGGCAATCCAGCAACAAAGTATTATGAGCCGATGTGGGATTCCGGCAATCCAGCAACAAAGTATTATGAGCCGATGTGGGATTCCAGCGTGCCGATGAGGGATCGCGGCATTCTTCAGTAACGATAGAAGTTTGAGGCTACGTGGTTATGCCGCGGTTAGCCTTGTATGGCTGTGTGGTTCCGCTCATAATTGAGGGGGTCTGGTCGCTGCACATAACCTGCAGACTATGTGCAGCGAGCAAACTATAGACCTTTAATGTGACTGGTGACAAGCATGCACGAGACGGTGTGAGCGTATGGGTGCTTGCCGCGGAATCCCAGCAAAGTGGCGTTTGCTGTCTATGTTAGGACAAAAGCATCTTTTTCGTAAAAACCCATGTAATGTCGGTGAGCAGTGTTTTCGCCACTATTTACAGTCGCCCCTGTTAATCGGTTTATGACAGGGACTTGCATCGACGGAAATGACCTGCAGATCGATACGGTGAGCCAATTAGCCAACAGCCGCGCTTAACAATGGCATGTAAAATTAATCGAAGCAAAATATGGTCATTGCCGGTATACGTATTACTCCCAAGTAGCTTTTCTTTCGCGAGGTTGATTATTAGTACAGTACAGTACAGTACAGTACAGTACAGTACAGTACAGTACAGTACAGTACAGTACAGTACAGTACAGTACAGTACAGTACAGTACAGTACAGTACAGTACAGTACAGTACAGTACAGTAGTACAGTACAGTACAGTACAGTACAGTACAGTACAGTACAGTACAGTGCAGTACAGTACAGTACAGTACAGTACAGTACAGTGCAGTGCAGTGCAGTGCAGTGCAGTGCAGTGCAGTGCAGTGCAGTTCAGTGCAGTGCAG